GGCCCCCGAGCGGCCTCAGAGAGCCGAATATGACCTCCAAGATGGCTCAATGTAGCCCAAGCTGGCCGAAGATGGCTTCCGAGATGCTCCAAGAGGCCCCATGACCGCTCCAAGACATCTCGAGATGGCCACGGAGCCTCCCCAGGAGGCCGGAGATGGCCCCAGCACGCCATCCAGGCCGGCCTCCCTCGCTGTTCGACCCTGCGTGTCTCTTCCTCTCTCCCCCCGTCAGCTCTCATGGGCATCTTCTCTGGTCGGGCTGGTGGGGATACTTTTGGTCAGCGGGCGCGCGAGACGAGTCGAACGCCGCGCGTGCTGGGGCGGGCCGCGCCGGTGGCGAAGCGCAAGCCAGTGCAGGTGGCGGCGCGCGAGGAGCCGCGATGCCGACCAGGCGGTCAGCAGCAAAAGTCAGAGCCCCGAATCATCAGGGGTACCTCGGGTCAGGGTTAACTCGGGTTCGTTTTTCGGGAATCCGAACCCGAGTTATCCCGGACCCGAGTTACCCCGGATAAGTCGGGCGTCCAGGGCCCCGAATCATCAGGGGTAACTCGGGTCAGGGCTAACTCGGGTTCCTTTTTCGGGAATCCAAACCCGAGTTACCCCGGACCCGAGTTACCCCGGATAACTCGGGCGCCCAAAAAAGAGCGTGCCGGAGGACGCCGAAGAGGACGGAGGCGAAGGAGGTGGACCGTCGCACCGAACGAAATGCCGCAGTGCCAACGTGGAAGACGCAGCCAAAATGGCGCGAGGAAGGCGGACGGGTAGCCGTAGAGGGTGACGGTGACGCGCGAGTGGACCCCGTGAAGTAGTATTGACGGCACCCTGGGTAAGCGGAACAAGCAGGAAGGGGGCGACCACGCCAGGGGGCAACAGTCGTCCAAGTAGCCGTCACCAACGCATCCGGACAATCTTGCCGTACAGGTAGAACTTCAGAAGGCCGTCAACCGACACCGTGAGCCCCGCGAGCTCGAACCAGAAGACACAGCTGATCGGCGCAAACGGACCGTGCGAGTGAAGACGACCACAGGTGAAAGCCCAGCGCGTACCCGGCGCCAAGGAGAAACCTTGTCGACCAGGTAGGGTCTCAAAAGGCCGTCGGCTGACACCTTGCGCTTCACGTGCGCGAGGCCGAAGGCAAAAAGAGGCGGCACGAGAGAACCGTGCAAGTGAGCGCCGCCCATCGGGTAGCCCGAGGGTAGAGCGGCGGGGGGCTGTGCGAGGCTGGTGCCTGCAAGTGCCTGCCAGGGGACCGTGCCGCCTTGGGCGCAGCGGGCCGCTGGCAGGGGTGGGGCCAGCGCGTCCGCAACCAACATGAACCCTTGCGGCCATCACGTGGTGGGGTGGACGGGAGCGAGGCCTGGGGGAGCTGGCACCATACCAACAGGACCAATCCGAAAGAGGCTCATAGGGGGCAGCTGATCGCTGCAGGCACTCGAGCAGCCTCGGCAGAGGAACACCCGTGGTAAGCAGCTGATCGCTGCAGGCACTCGAAAAGCCTCGGTAGAGGAATACCCGTGGTAAGCAAGAAACGCGGATGGATCCGGCTTGAAGGCATGAAGATGGGGTCAAGGGCTTTGGTCGTAATATTTCCTGTTGCGCGGCTCACGAACGTTCGTCTGCAAATATTTGTCCTCTGGGCGCCGCCGCGTGGGCCACGGACCTGTGCCCGCCCACGCTCCAGGCCCGCTCTGGCGTGCCTCCTGGAGCCCCCTCCTGAGCTTGCGGCGGCGGCGCCCTGTTGGCCTCCTCCTTGCGTCCTCCTGGGCCCTTCTCCGCTCCCCCCAGCCTCTTCCTCCGCGCAGCGCCGTCTGCCTCCTGCTGCTCCTCGTCCTCCTCGTCCTCCTCCTGGTGCTGGTCGTTGACGCGATCGCGTCGCTGGCAGCGTTGCTGCTGGTCGCTGGGCTGGCGGGGCCCTAGCGGCCACCCCCTGGGCTGGACGAGCTTCCAGAAGCTCAGCGGCGGACCTGGGGCAGGCGAGAGCGGCCTTGGAGCGGACGGGGGCCAGGGCGTGGGGCCCGCAGGCGGGCGCGCGGCAGCCCCGTCCCACGCCCGGGAGGTGGGGCCCGCAGGCGGGTGCGCGGCAGCCCCGTCCCACCTCCCGCCCCCGCTCCGCTCCTCGTTCCTCCTCGTCGCAAGGCCTCCCTCCTGCCCGCGCCTGCCCCGCTCGTCGCTTTCCGCCGCCCTAATCGCCTCCTGGCTCTCCAGCTCTGGGGTTGTCCAGGGCCTGGGCGTGGGGCCCGCAGGCGGGTGCGCGGCAGCCCCGTCCCACGCCCGGGAGGTGGGGCCCGCAGGCGGGTGCGCGGCAGCCCCGTCCCACTTCCCGCCCTGTTGCTGCTGGTCGCCGTTGCAGCGGTGAGGGCGTAGTTGCAGGACGTGCTGGTCGTGTTGCTGCTGGTTGGCGTCGCGGTGGTGCTGGTGGGGATACTTTTTCGGTCGCGGCCGCGAGACAAAGGTCAGGCGGCAAGAAGCTGGTGGGGATATTCGAAGCGTCAATAATTTTGGCCGTCTCAGCGTCCAGAGAGCTCATTGGGCACACCCTCGGAATTCCCATGAATTCCCAGGAGCGCCCAGGAGACGTAGGTTTTGGGCCCTGAACCTTGTAGTGGCTCCCATGAACACACCCATCTGGCTGGTGAGCCTTCGGGCATTCAACGTGCTGAAGACACGGCGGATAATCTATCGCGCTCATAATCCCCCAATCGATGTCAATCCTTCGGTTTCACGATCAGTCTATCTGCAGAAACAGCACTTACAGGACAACCATGAGACAACCGCAGGACAACCCCGGAACAGCCGCAGGACAACCTCGGGTACGCCACGGGACAGCCATGGAACAACCACGGGACAAACCGCAGAGCAACCCCAGTCACGCCCTGGCGGATCAGGTACGACGACTGATGTTTTGGCCTGGCCTGGCCCTCGCTAGTGCAGGAACTCGCGCGGCCTCACCTTGCCCGCACGGCACGAACCGAAACCGAATCCGACTTCACAGCTGGGGGACTCCGTTGGGTTCCGTTTTGCCCACCCGATCTCCGAATTTCTTGTCGTGCACTCTTCGGGAGACAGGAGCAGAGGAGGGGGCCTCGAGTGGTGTTGGTGGGTTTGGCCTGGTCTTTGTTTTCTGCTGCCTGTTTTGCGACCTCACTCGGACATCCAGTTCAGGAGTATCAGAGTCGACCATGGCCGGCTCCGTGCAGCAAGCATTGTTGGATAGTAGGATCATCAAGGTGAGGCGAAGGACGAGGTTGCGGAAGAGAAGGAGCAGGAGGACAGCGGGTGGATGAAGGTGAGGATGATAACGATGAGAACGATCAGGAGGATGACGATGATCCATGATACTGAATTTGATGATGACCGTGGATGAGGACGATGGTGGTGGTGGTGATGATGATGCTGATTATGATTGCATAATTATCTGATCATGATTGTGATGCTGACGATGATGATGCTGATGATGATGGTGATAATGATGATGGGGATGCTGACGATGATGATGCTGATGATGACGATGGCGATGATTATCATGGTGATGATTCTGATGATGCTGCTGATGGTTATGATGATGACGATAAGGATGATGGTGATAATGCTGATGGAAAGGATGATGATACTGGTGATGCTGATTGACGATGCTGGCGATGAGGATGATGATGCTGATGATGATGATTCTGATGATGTCGATGATTATAATGATGATGCTGCTGATGCTGCTGCTGATAATGATGATGGTGGTGGTGGTGCTTCAGTATGGTCATGGTACTGATGATGCTGGTGGTGATGATGCTGCTGATGATGATGGTGATGATGATGACGGTGATGACGTTGATGCTGATGATGCTGATGTTTGTGGTACTGCTGATAATGATGATGCTGATACTGATGATGATGATGATGATGATGATGATGATGATGTTGGTTGTGAGGATCATGATACTGATGATGATGATGATGATCATGAAGCGGCTGATGATGCTGATGCTGATGCTGCTGATGATGATTATGCTGCTGTTGATGATGATGGTGACCCTGACGATGATCATGATGATGACGATGAGGATGAGGATGAGGATGAGGATGAGGATGAGGATGATGCTGCTGATGATGTGGATGATGATGCTGCTGATGATGATGCGGATGATGCTGCTGGTGATTATGATGCTGATCAAGATGATGATGATGATGATGATGCTGCAGATGCTGATGCTGATCATGATTATGATAATGTTGATGATGATGGTGACCCTGACGATGATCATGATGATGCTGATGATGGTGATGATGATACTGATGCTGCTGATGATGATGATGAGGATGAGGATGAGGATAAGGATGAGGGTGAGGATGAGCAGGATGATGACGATGATGATTATGATGCTGATGCTGATGATGATGATCATGATGCTGCTGCTGATGATGATGATGAGGATGACGATGATGACGATGATGGTGAAACTGGCGATGCTCATGAATCTGATGAGGATGATGATGATGATGCTGCTGCTGATGATGATGATGATTATGATGATGATGCTGCTGCGGATGCTGATGATGCTGCTGCTGCTGCTGATGCTGATGCTGATGCTGATGCTGATGCTGGTGCTGCTGCTGCTGATGATGAGGATGAGGATGAGGATGAGGATGAGGATGAGGATGAGGATGAGGATGAGGATGAGGATGAGGATGATGCTGCTGATGATGATGATGATGATGATGATGATGATGGTGATGGTGATGGTGATGGTGATGGTGATGGTGATGGTGATGATGATGATGATGGTGATGGTGATGATGATGATGATGATGATGATGATGATGATGATGATAATGATGATGCTGATGCTGATGCTGATGCTGATGCTGATGCTGATGCTGATGCTGATGCTGATGCTGGTGATGATGATGATGAGGAGGAGGAGGAAGAGGAGGATGATGATGATGATGATGATGATGAGGAGGAGGAGGAGGAGGAGCAACAGCTCCATGGGACTCGACGCGCGCAGGACGTGCGCTCGGAGTTCGCGGCGCTCGACACGAACGGCAACGGCGAGCTCGAGGAGACCCCGTGGGTTCGGCCGCGCCCGAGTCCGCGCCCCAGAGACGGCGGCAGAGGCAGAGGAGGTGGAGAAGTAGGAGGAGGAGGAGGAGGAGGAGGAGGAGGAGGAGGAGGAGGAGGAGGAGGAGGAGGAGGAGGACGAGGATGCTGGCTAGGCTTCGGAAGCATCGAGTCTCATTCCCAGGGAGTTGGTGCACTGTGGAGCTGTCACAATTTTCCCTTGATTTCTCGGCACTTTCTCTGTGCTTTCAGGCGTTCAGATCGAGAGTTGTTTGCGTTAGTGTCGAGCGTTGGCATGCCAGGTGGTACTAACCTGTTCGCTTTCACATGTGTCGTAGGAGGAGGACGAGGAGGAGGGGGTGGAGGAAGAGTCGGAGACAAAGAGCAGCTGCTGCTGCCAAGCGATGCGCCCGCGGGGCAGCCCTGCAGCGGAGGTGTGGAGATCAACCGCGATGGCACCGGCGACGCTGCCGCTACCCCTCCCGCCATCGCCCACGGCGTCAGGACGGGGTCCCTGCCCGCGACCCCCCCCCTTTCCACGCGTTCCCCCGCCCTCCTCACCGTGGCCACGGCCTCGCCCGCTTCGCTCTCAAACTCCGATCCGCCTCGCCTCGCCATGGCCCCATGGCCTCACCCATCCCCCGTCCTTCTCGGCAGGGTTGTTGTGGCCAGGGTGCCTGGGGATGTCTCAAGATGAGATGTGTACGCGTGGTGACATATGGGCCCGTCACTTTGGGACATGGCTCGAAGAAGAAAAAACGCCATAACATAAACGATTGGCGCTCCGCGCCGAGCGCCAACAGTTTATGCCCATGCCGCGCTTTCTTCCCCGAGTGGCCCACTCGCCTGGCTCCTCGGCAGGAGGACGAGATCCGCAGCACCCTCGAGCACCCCGCGCCCGCCGCGCCCGCGGCCGCGCAGCCCGCCGCCGCCCCCGCGGCGCAGGCCTCCCGCCGCCCCGCCGCCCCGGGGGCGCCCCGGGGGCGCCTCGCGGCGCGCTCGCGCCCTGCTCCTCCGGCCTCCCTGCCTCCCCGCCCCCCCGCCCTCGCCCCGCGGCCACAGCACCTGGGGAAAAAACGGGGGCCTCAGGTCTGACCGCGGCACCCTCGCCCACGGCATCGTCCCACCGCCACCCTCGCCCTGCGGAGTGGCGGAGGGGAAGGGGGAGGAGGTGGCGGAGTGGCGGAGGGGAAGGGGAGGGAGCGGGCGGGCGGGAGAAGGTGGAGGAGGGGAAGGCAGCTTGCTTTTCCTTCCTCCGCTGCTTTCTCTTCCACCTTCCCCTCCGCCCTCCTCCTCCTCCTCCTCCTCCTCCTCCTCCTCCTCATCCTTCTCCTCCTCCTCCTCCTCCTCCTCCTCCTCCCTCCTCCTCCTCCACCTTCCTCCGCCCTCCTCTCCACCCCCCCTCCGCCCTCCCTCTTCTGATGCCGACCCTTGTGGCGGACTCGACTTCCCTCCCCTCCTCATCCTCCTCTTCTGGGCTGCTTCTAAGCCTGCTGCTCCGTCTCTTCCTCCCGCCCGCCCTTTCGTGGTGGCCCCCGCCAGGCCCCAGGAACGCCCAAGCAAACGCGACCCCGGGATGAGCAAACGCGACCCCAGGGAAGGACGGGGCCGAGGCCCCCCCAGCCTTGCTTCGACAAACATCGCCACGTCGGAGACCTGGGACCGCGCGCGGGCGAGGCAGCCGCGGTTCCGGCGGAGCCTGTGCCGGGCTTGCTGATGGAGCTCAAG